GCGTGTATACTAATTAATTGCAATGTAATACTTAATCGTTATTAATATTTGTAATGATATACATAAATTCTAATAACAATTGAATTTTAATCAAATTAGGTTCAAAATGTTTGCGATTGAAATGCATTCAATTGTCCTGCTAGTGCAGAAGAGACGATTGGGTTTACAGTTATCGATTTTTCGCACACACGCACGTGTTGTTTCTTCTGCTAATGTTAGGTAATTGTGATACGATGTCATCGTGACACATATTCCGCGCGATGTGTATTGCAGATTAAAAAGTTATCATGTGGAAATGGCACGTTGTTTTCAGTGACGTCCATCTCCGAAACTGTTTTAGCTTCGGCAGAGAGGATGAAACACGGCCTGCGAAAAATAGAATTGAAAACATTCGATCGAGACCGCACCGCGCGCCGAGCCAACGATCGCAAAACCACGTGAAGTTTCTATTCTTGACAATCCATTAGCTCGCGACTGGAAAAGATTTCACCGTGTCGGGGCATTCGATTCGGGCGCATAATTGAGAAGACCCAGAATGTACGCTGCTGACGATGAAAATTTAAACGAGAATCTGTCGATTGGACCAACTCGGGGGACTTTCGACAATCTGCTATTCCAATCATTGTTAACTGCAAAGTATATATTTACGAATCGAAATAATGAACGGTACAGCCGTCTTTTTAAGAGTATCTGTAGTCAAGAGACATTGATAAGAATTTATAAATATCATTACAAATATAGTTAAAAAATCAATTGTTATTCATTCTTTCTGTAAAACGGAATAAAAATTAAAGAATTATTATTTGCATTCTCAAGTGATACTATAACGCATAAAATTGTGATAATAGAAGAATGTATGTAAAACGAACGGTGGATAAAATTGTTTATTTTCGATACGAGTCGACGAGTTCAATACTAGTTTAGTACAATCGGAAGGATTCCGGAAGGATATTGAAAGTTCTTTGTGAATAATATTCTCAGAATTAGAGCGTTTATTAAAGTTCGATAAAAATCGCGATGCAATTCCAACTTGGATACCAGGCGAAAGTTTCACGTGCAAACACAATAGAGGGGATTTTGCATGGTGCAGGATATTGAATTCGGAGTGCGAAAGGTATGTCGGAGCGGGAAATAATAATAAAAAGAACGCCACGCGACATCGCGTGTCCGAGCACAGAAATGTTTCGATAATCGTCGAATCTCGATTAGATAATTTCGCGGCGGCGCGAAACCGCCGTGGAAATCGTGCGAATTTGCTCGCATCTCCCCACAAGTACGTCGGCAGCACTTGCTTTCTGTGATTAAAGTTTATGCGAATTCAGATTAGCGCAGCAGCTGTCGAGGGAGAGGAAGAGAGCGCGAACTATTCCTGCAACTTCGCTCTAATTATTCGCGATTATATCTTATGCGTGTTTGAATTTGCTAAGTTTCATTATAATTATAATTCGATAAGTTTTAAAGTGTTATTCACGCAGACTTGAGAACCATTTAGAAACTTTTCTCTCATAATTGCCTATAGCTTATATGATAAATTTACTTTTCTTTCGACATTCTTAAAATGCATTAATCATTCAATTATTTCTTGCAATTTTATTTTCAGACAATACTTATATTACTGTAATTTATTACATTACTGTGATTTTGAACTCATTACGTAAAAAAATGTTTATTTTTGAAATTACAAGTAATTTGGTAAATAAGATTAATATATTCTTCAATTATTAGATTGTTTTGTGTTTCATAAAATTATATGTCACGAAAATCCAGATTTACATAATTCAGTGATCAATTTGAATACTTTTACTTCTCAACGTGAAGTTACACGTGTTTGATAGTTTCGCAAGAGTCCATCGCGCAAACCGCTGTTAATATATTGCCTGTATGTTATAAAATTATTTTAATGATCATATCTACACGTATTTTGAATCACGCATTGTGTTATTTATATCCTCGCTCAAAGTTTTTCATTGCGTGATCGCAACTTTTGCGTATTTTTTAAAAAACATTAATTAAAAAAAATATATAAATAGCATCCAAACCTCCCAAAATTCCGTCTGTTTCTCCTCGTCAAACGCGCGGCGAACACGAGAAACCTCGCGATAACCCCGAAGAGATATGCATTACGCCTACTGGGTACCACGTAGTGTAAGGGCGCGCGGGAGCCCCGTTGATCCCGATCGCGGGTATGCAATTCCGGGTGCCGTCGTTCCCAAACGGTGCCCGCGAAGGGCGGACAACGGCGACGAGGGAGGACGAGGATTGACACTGACCTAACCTCGCGCGCACTCCAAGCCACGCCGGTCTCTCGCAGCAGCTCTCGGGACCGCTGCACACTCGCACACACTGCACCCACGACTGAAGGAAGGTGGGCAGCCGAAGTCGCGACCCGTGGTGCGCGACGTCGGGGGTGCGCCGAGATATCTCGGTCGCTTGGAGGCGCCACCGGATGCGCACTACCGGGCGCGGTGAGAGAGCCCACGGGAGAGACGGGCACACGGGAGGATGGACACCGCCGGTGGGGTGGATTCGCGGAATCTGGACCGATCTTGCGCGCGCGCGAGTCGTCGACACAATAACCGCAAAGACACCAGCTGGAAAAAGCGCTCCGCCCACGCGTGGAAGGTTAACGGCGATTTCTCCGTCGAAAAATTCGCTTTGATTTCGCAAGATGCGGCGAAATCGATCGTCACAACCCCCGTTTTCGCGCCTCGAAAGTCTGCTTTAAGATGTGCTTTAGGATGCGAATCAATAATCCATTCCGAGAATAAATACATCGACAGTAACTTTAGATACTACAAAATACCTGATATAATAAAATTTATGGATTGTTGAAAGATATTAAGAAATAGCTATGTACAAAATTAATTGAAAATTAGGAAAGATTTAAATTTTATGTATTTAAAAAGATATACGGAAATTACCCAGCTGTTTTTCGCTTTAAAAGAGCGAGTTTAATAAAAGAGTTTCTATATTGTTCCCTAAACTGTACGTTTTTAATCTTCCATCCATTAAACAAACGTGTCTGATTCTTGTTGCTTTCGCTCGGCGATAGCAAGTTTTTGTGAGAAGCATTGTTTTATTCGGGTCGCACAATTCAGCGCTCGTATCGTTTAACAAGATCAAGCAATTGTCTTGGCACATTAATTGTTTAATTTTTTGGGATTACACTAGAATCTCTCCAAATGATAAATTCTGCCATAAACACAATGCGGAATGATTAATTATATTATTGCTGTTCGGATTATCTCTCTGAAAAATTGGCTGGTTTACAGCAATGCCATTTGACAAATATTTAAAATAAAAATAACGTTGCATATTTTGTACGAAAATCATAATTCATTCGCAGTGAGGAAGAATTTCTTTTGTCATATCAATGTTTCTCATAACTTATGATATTAGACATTTTATACAACATTTGAATAAAAATGCTGTGATTTTAAAATGCTATAGTACTATAATTTGAAAAAGTCTGTTCATAAAAATATAGAATAAAATACTCTGAATGCATATATTTAACCTTCAAACTTGTGCTAAAATTGATAGACCATATCAGTTTCACATGCAATATAAAAAATTTTTGGTTATTTTATATTATACATAGAATATATAACCTATATTCTATGTTTAATAACCTAATATAGATAATATATATACATAGAATATAGGTGATATGTTTTATATATGATAATATAACATAGATAATATATATACATAGAATATAGGTCAAATACACTATACACAACCATCTGATCAAAATTTGTTATTACATGAAATCATTCTTGTATCTTGCATCTATCTCTCTTATATTGGATAGCACATATACTTATTTTTAAAGAATCAGTTTCATAGGACTTTAAATTTGCAAAAAAATTAAAAGTTTAAGAACTACAGCTTTAAATCAAAATTGAATATAAAACAACTATAAAATGTATTTATTATTAATGCAATTGGTAAAAAGCATAATTTTTATAAAATTGTTATCTTGCTCTATCCGTTTAAAAACATGTTCTTTTTTTAACCAATTACCAAATTTAAGTCATTCTACAGTGCAACAAAAGTTTTTTATTCCCAAAAATAAATTAGAAATAAATATATTGATTATTGTAATGTTGCAAATAAGCAAATAATCAATTATGTGATATACTGCTATAATATTTACTCACCAGATGATGTCTTGCCTCGTAATTCATTGGCTCATCATTGTATATTATTGCCATAAATTGCCCATGGTTTTAATTATTACTTATGACTTGTCAATTCATATGGCTGCTAGCTGTCTTTTGTCCTATGAAAATACCATATTTAATGTAAATATCATATTTATACATAATGCAATAAGAAAAAATCTTTTATTTATGTAATTTATAAAAAATGGATGAATTAAGATTTTGATTATTATAATTTAATGATAAATATTATAGATAAATATAATAATTTATAAAAATATAAAGGTTAAGATTTTGGTTATTATAACTTAATAATATTAAAATATCATAAATAAGCAAATAATTCATTGCATAATGTAATACTAAACATTTCTCACCAGATGAGATCTCATTGTTACAATTTGTTGGCTCTGTCATTACTGCAATAGGTCAAGGCTCTAATTATCACTTACAACTGGTTAATTGATATGACACATCGTGCTGACAAAAGTCTTCTTTCCTATAAAAATATCAAATTTAGTATATTACACAATGCAACAAAACAATAAGAAAACATTTTTTTTGTAGTATTTATATATTTGACAATTATATTGAGGTTAAGATTTAGAATAATACATGTAATAATATCATAAATAAGTAAATAATCACATGATACGTATAATGCTAAAATTTATTCACCAGTCGATGTTCTCGATTGCTTTCCAGTGCAGAATTGCACGCGTGATGCATTCTTGAACGAATGAATAACGTGAAACACAACAATCGTCCGTTGACATGCTCGACAATTCCGCTCTATATGTCTAAAAAATTCGAAAGACGGGACAACTTCATACCGACGCGACATACGACATGATGCGATCGATAAAATTAGTTTTATGAATGCTGAAAGTTGGGTGAATTAGATTAGCGATCATACGAGCTAATTAATACTTTACAATAATTAATTGCTTTTTATTCTCGATACTACTGAGATAATTTGCTTAAAAAGTCTAAAAGACGAAATAATTTCACGTCGATGCTCGAAGCATGACAAGCAAGATCTGACAAACACAAGTGCGATTGACTGTTCAAATACTGGGATTAAAAATTGTGTGATTATACGTACTAATTAATACTCCACGATAATCGCCTGTTACTAGAAAGATACTACCGATATTTGTTTGCATGCGAAATCACTTTAAACGAGAAAAAAAGCACACGCAAAACGCAGGACAGCTTGCTCGCGTCCGAAATAGCCGGCATCATCCCATGAAGTAACCGGCACGAACTGAAAGTTGCGTCACTTGTGACGTCACGCTCACACAACGATGAGTGATCACGTTGGCATTTTTAAATAAGAACGCGCGTATTTTTGTAGTATTCAGTAGTACATTAATTAACTGTATTATTGTATATCTATTGTTTATGGTCTATTATTATGTTATGTTACTCAAAACACATGAATAAATAATACAAAATTCATTGTTTATGATAATTATCTGTAAAAAATTATAAGTAGATAATAAACTAAAAATGTAATTTTATTTTTAGATTTATAACGATCTTTTGTGTCCTTATAGCATCTAGAAGATAATATACATATAATAAATAAAATTATATTATTCTTAAAAGATAATATTAATAAAAAAAATTTGATTAATATAATACTTATACTTTTGATCGTTGCAGAATTTATTTATTATATGTATAGTGCGACTTTTTTTACAATTAAATAGAAAACTTAAAAAACAGTACATTTAAAAATATAAATGTTGCAATATAAAATACATTCTACAAGTAATTATGTTAAAAAACTATGCGAGTAACGGCTGATTAAATAAGCGGCTAGTATTATATTGATATTGGAAATACGGGTAGAAGATAAAGAGAGTGCGGGCCAGCCCTCGCGTGAATTTAACGTTGCTCATGAACCTAACACGCTATTTTATAGCATGAACTAAAGCTACCTCCATGGAAAGCGCCAGGAGCAGGACAACGGGTGTTCCTTAGCTGGAACAATGGATCGGTGGCATTGTGCGGCGGGGGCGCATTAACCGCCATACCGCAACGATCCCTTTAAACTCCCGGTACGAAACATCCGGCTTCCGGCAGCGCGCCGACATATTGATGAATTAAGATTACGATAGAGAGGAGCTTGGTTTTCGGGCTGCGCGGGTCGAAGACAGACCGAAGCGAGTAAAACAGGCGTAGTGGAGCGGATCGTTTCGATTCAGAGTAGCTCATTTATCACCGGACTTCGAACGCCAATCTCCCTCTCGGCGAATAGGAAAAAGGGAAGGGACGGAGGGATGGAGGACGTCGGCGAGAAGCGGAGAGTAAAGAGGCTGAGAAAGTTCGGCGAGTTGTTTGTCAAGAATTAAACTCTCTTCTGAATTCATCCGACGGGTCGTTATGGTCCGGGCATTTCAAACGGACGTGTCCTAGAAATCGCCGGATCAATCCGCGCTGCTCGTTCGCGACGTAGATTAAGATCTCGTCTCTTAACGACTAGTGGTAACGAGATGTTTCTCAAGACATTAAGGAGAACAGGAGAATGTTAACTTCTTCTCTTAAAGCAAAGAAAAAATATCGCAATTTTCTTCTTCGTTTTTTCTTTAAAGTGGAAGAATCAGGTAGCGAAAAGGAAAGAAAAATGCGTCGTAATTAAGGGATGGATTTTGGAACGTCATATTCCGGGAATTTAATTGTCATCGCGTGCTGCACGCATTGTCGGAGCGACGTGACGCTTTATCTCGATGGGTTTCCTTCACATCTATTCACGAGATGTAAACTTAATTCCATCGCAGAGAGCGTCGACGACAAAGGCGGCGTCCCTATCACCTGCGCTTTTTATCAGGCCAGCGTATTTTTCTCCAGCCCATTGTGCGCGTTACACATCGTGTGTCGAGCGATCGGATAAACGCGAAGAGATGAAGGCGGATCGACGTTGGCTGCTCTATATTGAAGGGGACTTGGCAAGATTCCAATAATCTCCTTGGATCACCATCGTCGGTGTTACCTACCTATGCTTTGCGATTTCGGCCTCAAGCTGGGCACGTCGCCGGACCGATTTACCGCTGTCCAAAGTGTTTGTGTGTGTGTGCCTACGTATGTGTAATCGAGCCAGACACATCGAGGTGAAAAATGTCAGCCAGCGTCACCGGAATTAGAATCCGGGGAAATACAAGCCGGAAAAATACGCGATTGGGCCATCGATCTCTCCCGTTTGCATCCGTGTCCGCTTATGGACGTCTTTCTCTCTCGTTCTCTTTTTCTTTCTCTGTCAGTGTATGCAAATGCGTTGTAGAATAGGAAGAATCTGTCAGCAAACGCAACCAACTATGCCTTCGTAGTCGTACGCCTGAGTTAAGTGAAAGGTAGCAACCGCTGCATCGAGATTGAGGATGGAAAAATATGTTGGTCGTAACGCTGCCGTAAATTTGCATAATATGAAAGAAAAATCAATTAAATTAAAAAAAAAATAGTTTGAAAGTGCAGAAAATTCTAATCACAAAAATTAAAGACATAGGGCCACTTTTTCCAATTGCTAACATGAAATATCGTCATCAAAGACGAAAAAGATTTAAAATTTTTGTCACCTTTAATGACGATGGTCTATTCTTTACGTTAGCAATTCTCTTAACAAATTGAAATCGTCGGTTAACGTTAAACGACATTGGAAAAAGTGGCTCATAATTAGAAATATCGCAAATAGAGTTATGTATCAAGTTTGATACAGAGATAGTATCAGTACTGTTAAAACCTGTTCATCAATAATGGGATAGAAAACTGCGAATTACGAAGAATATCGCGAAGAGTGTCATTACGAAGAACACGCAAGACGGAATAACCATTGAATACTTTTGAGAGAATGCTCGGTGACCTGGTAAAAGTTAGATATCCAAGACGACGGAATTTAAAGCTAGCTTCGCTCCCGGCGCAGAAACTTGATTGGAGTCAAAGTATCCTCGATGGAAATTACCTCCGTATTACCGTCGAGATTTTGCTTCGTACATGTAGTCAAAGCACTCGGCGGATACGCTCGCGAACACAGAAGTTACTATTAATTTCAAGTCCGACGCAGTTCGCGATGTTTCAGCGGCAGGAGTTGACTCCCAGTTTAAATCGAGTTATCGCTATAGAATTTCCAAACTGTGATCCGGCCTTCTCCGAGGCCGCGGAAACGAGTGTCCCTTTTATCACGGAAGCTCGGAGAGATCATAATCTGTGATACACTGCTGAATCTTAGGAATGAGAAAAATTTGTCGGTAAATTTGCAAAACGAGATTGATTTATGACTTATTAATTTATGAGCAACAAGGCACAATCGCGTCATACATTAATTAAAAATTTAGTTTCTCGCAGACTGTCTCAATAATGTAAATTAATGAATGTGCGTGCAAATACCGCATACGCAAATTCGAATAAATGTTCTTTAATATATATCTATTCTCATTTATAATTGTAACTTTAAATAATTACACCTGTCAATTTTATAGTTGACACCTCTTCGCAAATGTGATTAGTTGTGTCCTTTTTGTTCTTTACATTGTTATGGCATCGTCTGCAGTTGGTATTGTTTCGCAGTGTCGAAGGCGAAGCTTCCACCGGAAGTTTCGAGTTTTGTTTGACGGCTCTTTCGAGCGCAAATCTGTCAGAATCAACAGCGGCCTTGGAAAACGCAAGCTGCTTCCGCGGGAAAGCACACTGCACTCGTTGTTGATTCAGGTGTCTGCTTCCAAACTTCGGTAAAGAAGAAAATATCTCCGTCAATATGTGTCCCTACAAATATTTTACAGTTTAGCGCAAACATATTTCTACGTCATTGCGATTTCGTTTAGCAATATTCAACTTTTTTCACTTTTGATCCTCGCGCGTTGCAATTTCTAATTAATTCCACTCATTATAAGAATCGCACTTTTCTGGCGTCAAACATGTCTTTCTCGTAAATATCAATTATGCTTACTACAGAATAAGTGCGATTAAACGAAAATGTGATCGAATAGTCAACGATCCACCACTTAATTAAATTCATTTTGCATCTGGCACGAAATCTAGTGGATTCTTAATTAAATCTGTTTGAAAACGATCACGAATCATTAAAATTCAGTTGGCGAATTCAGAAACCTTTTTCACTAAAGATATACAACTCTGACTTGATTAAGTGGTGATCTCTAATTAAGAAGTAATGCTCTTAATTAGAAATTTATTAATTACATATCATTTCACAACTATTTCCATTCAAACATTATCACACATAACATACATAGTTATATATATATATATATATATATATTAATTACTAAAAACTTTTTAAATATATTAAATATTAGGTATATTATATTATCTATATATGTAATATTAAGCTTTAATGTCATATTTAATTGGAAATAAAATGAGGCAAACAAAATGGAGGCAATTAAAAATAACGAGAAATTTTTTGCACACAATGTATACGCTGTATGGCAGAAATATTTTTTATTAGTTATATAACATTCAATATAATATGTATGTTATATAACATTATATTCTGATCGGTACCTCGTCAATGTTTCCCATTGCTCCTGATATTGCCAGGTTAATGCTCTTCACGTATCTAGCTCTGCCATAGGCACGTAGCCTACGAGGTACAACCAAGGAAAACACCGACTCCGCAGTGATTCGGCAATCCTGGAGGACTGCAGTCTACTTGCATTCAGATGCCAAGTAAGGGGCAACTCGACAAATTGTGCCAGTAAGCTCGGACGTTTGCGAGGACCTCATTGTAAATTTCAACAATTCGAGAACGGTGCCAACCCGTCATTGAGGCAACTCTCTCATCCAGGATTTCGAACATATTTGATGTGATGGTTGCTGACATCCTTTGCTTCTTGAAGGAGAAAATATTCACGATTATCTGCAACGCAAAGAATATTATAATAAATATGAGAAAGCTTTTGTATATGCTGCATTCTTTTTAATTATTTCAAATGTCGTGTAGCTTACACTGAATTATTTTTGATTTATATAATTGATTGAACAGTAAAAAATAAATTCCAGCTAATTAATTAGTTTAACGTCTAAGTAACTAGATTTAGCTACATTGTATTTAACATACAACAACCATTATACCATCATTTGCGGCTAAGCGGTGCAAATTCAACGTTAATGCAAATGCGTTGTTCGCATTTAAGCTTCCGCAATAATGCTCATTCAATTCTTGTTTTGAATTCTATTAGGTGTCCAGCCGCAGTTGGTGTATAAAAGTTTAAGTAAATTAGTACAGCACGGCCGATTAAAAGCGCTGCTTTTTGCAATTTGCACGGTCTGTCTGGCTCTCATTGGAATTTATAAATTATAAATGTTTTTTCTTGGCGGCTACACAGCATTTCCATGCGACATTATTTTATTACACAAGAGCTTGCGTTCTTCCAACGCAACACTTGTGGACATTTTTCCCTTAAAATACAGAATACATTTTATAATAAAGCTTAAATTCTGCAAAATTATATTTTTATTGTCAAAACTTATATAAATTATAAATGTATAAAATTTATAGCTAGAAAATATACATGATCTCATATTAAAATCTATTAATTGGTATTGTTATTGAACACTATTTCAATCTTAAAATTTTATGTAGATTATATATTTCTTAGCTAACTTTTCAATTTGTATTAAAAATATCTTGTTTTTTAAATATGTATATATTTTTTTTCAAATAATATAAAATAAATATAAATTGAAGTTTAAAATTAGGGGTATTATTTATCTGCGACCAATAAATAAGTTTGCATAACGTTGCATATCTTATATCTTACTGAATGCAGATAAAGCAGAGAATATACCCTTCTATTTCAATAAGTTACACTTACCAGAAGAAATAAAGTTAACAGTTATCAGTACAATGTGATAATAATACGAGAATATTATCAAACTTACCATTTATTTCCGTCTAATTTATGGAAACAATTATAGAATTCTTTTTCTCAACAGAAAAAAATTTAATTTATAGCCTTATAAATTACATAGGATTAAAAATTTATTTAACAAATTGCAGCAACAAGTTAATATAACTCTTACTTTTATTTAAAATATAAGTATAAACATTATAAAATTGAGTGACATAGAATTGTGTATGCACGCAGTTTCGCTATTTGCAGCGAAACCGAAATGTAACTCGGCACGAGAATCATGAAAGTTTTGGGTTGGGTTATTTCTGTAATCACATTGGATTATTATTTTAAGGCAAATATAGATGTAAGCAGATAGTTGAATAGTGCCCTAAAAAAACAGTAAAATTAAAAAATTGCAGTTAAAGACGATAAAATTAGAAGCTTGTTATATAATAATAATTTATTTCTATTTTATTTTCCTAATAAATCATTTCTTTTTCTCTTTCACTGTTTCTTTTTCACAAAATTTGTAAGCACTATTAAAACAAATATATAAATAAAAATCAGAAAATAACATTAATTAAATACAACATGACATTTAAAGCGTTATTAACTGTAGTGTAAATAAAATGCAATATTTTGTTTTGAACAAAATTATTATTTTTACTATATAAATTCTTTCAGCAGTTACAAAAATAATAGCTCATATTAATAATGTAAGTTTTGTTCACATTTTGAAAAGTAGCAATATTCTCGGGTAATTAAATGTACAAATTATTTTGTGGAATGTACAATAATATGTAATAAATCCTTATCTACATTTGTCCGTCGTTTCTCGGTGAGATATTATAAGCTCATTAATTTACCGAACTGGACATTATCATACTCGATAAATCAACGGAGTGACTATGAACTCAGTAATTGAAAGCGCAATTATTTCGTGCATGACACGTCCCATGGGATCAATATATCTGCACATATTCGTCTTTACGTTGATTCTCATGACAAACACTTAATCAGGAGTTACATAAATCCTTGTCGTCTTCGTGTTCGTGATAAATTAAACAAAGGAAAAAATCGCATTAATTCGCGCTGTTATTCATCATGGTCACAATGTCATGGTCTGCAACGTCTTGTGCTTTTTATTTTAATGATGTAGCTCTTCTTTTTATTCACACATTTAACTAATATATTTACTAATTTGGTATAGCTAATAGTGAAATAATAATTAGTATTAATTAATGTTTCAATAAAAATATCAAATTTCAAATTAAATACATTTCAGAAATTGTCGATCTTTTTTTACCGTTTTTATGTCTTATACGTTTAAAAAATTGTTTCATTACTATTTATAGAATAGTTGATAGTTCTACAGTTGTTCTACGTTATATGTATAAGTTTACATTTTAACGACACGTTTTCAATCTCAGGAAACAGTTCGCTAAAATGTAAACTTACATAGTCTTGCAGAATTATTAACTTCTAGAAATGTAAATAATGTCTCGCGATAATCTCGAATAATTTGCAAAGTAATGATTATTTAGTAATTAATGTGTAAATGCTTGCACGTTATCACCCCACATTAATTATAAGTACAGGTGACTTGATATGATATCAATTTTGATTTACGATGATGTCAAAACTGTTATTGAAACAGCTATAAATCACGACTCGAATTTTACTATCAAACAGATGATAAAATTTATCTTCAAACTTTCTGAAACAACTCACTAAAACAATCTTATAACTTTAACAATTATATTAATGTTATACAATAATGTAGCAAAAAATTTTCACGGTTAACTCATAGAACTTATTCTATAACTTCTATTTGTCTTTCTGATTTCCACTAATTATATAAAATAGAAAATTTCACAAATTATATAACACTCGTACAACTGAAATTCGTACAACTTGTATACAACGAGAGCCAGTCTCTCTTTTCATACTAAAAACTAGACTAATAAATCTCTCAATGTTAAGATAGCGATGAAAGACGCACTATGAACTACAAATTATATTTAATCGCCGGCCGGTATTTTTAACGATAATCTGCACTTATGATAACATTTACATTTATGCAATGATGCAACATGTTTCCATTTTCGATACGATTTTATCCTCTTTTTTTCTATACATATTTATATAACTTTTCTCTGAGTATTTTTGATTGTTTCGAGTTTCTTCCTCGATAAGAATTAGCGTGTTCTCGCTTTCTGTTATCTTACTATCGCCTTACACGTCACAATAGATTTTGCCGTTACTCATAGCTTCGATACATCTCGTAGCCTTTCCTCGACTTCTCACTCCTCTGGCTCCGACTTGCAACACGTCACCATTTTATAATGGGCCGCGTCCATCGCTTGGTTCAGCTGTCCTTTGAGCTCCCGAGCTTTCACGTATACATCCTCCTTCATCAGATTGTAGCACATGGCGATCAGACCCATTCCCAGCAATAAATACACGAAATTAATGATGAGTTTCGTCTGGCTGCTCTCCGTGGAATCGTCCTGGTTCCAGCCGGGCACCAGATCGCCCATGCCGATCTTGCAGAGCGAGGTGACGCAGAAATAAGCGCTGTCCAAGTAGTCCCAACCCTCCCACGCGGCAAACATGATCGAGCCAGCGACGACGTAGCCGATTATCACCCACAGACAGGCGGTTGACGGCACCGTGACCCTTTGTCCGGGCTTCCGCTGGCCGGTGCACTCGTACACTCGCGTGTACAACCAACGGAAGGTCTCCGCGAGCACCTGGCCCATGTTGAGGAAGTACAACACGTACAGCGGGATGCCCACCACCGCGTAGACCACGGTGGCGCCTTTGCCCCACTGGGTCTTGGGCACCAGGCTGCCGTAGCCGATCATCGTGAACACCGACAAGCAAAACATCAACGCCGCCGGGAATGACCAGAGGTCGGCCGGCGCGGAATCGCCGCAGTTATCATGGCGCAGGATGCTGGTGATGTTGTCCTGGTAGCGCCGCAGGATGCTGTTGGACACCGCGCGGAAGGCGGTGCGGTTGAACACGTTGACCGATTGATTGCTGG